CGATATTACGGTAAGAACTCGCAACATGTGGCGCCACTTTGAGGTAGACCATTTAGAAAAAAAATTTCGAAAAATTTTTGGAAGATTGTGTAACAAGGTTTTCACGCATGCTGATTTCACTACATAGCTTCTTGCGCGTTCGCAGAGTTTTTTAATGCCTTAATCAAATCTTTAATGAATAACAGAGACCGACTGTAAGATATATCTGGCATAACTTTGAGAAAAGCGTCATGGTGAAGTGCGTGTTATACATTTGAAATCGGTGACTCTGATCAACCTAAGGGTTCGTAAAATTCCTCTAATTAATTTGCTTACATGGGTTACGAAAATGTGCAAGTGACTCGCAAAAGTTTTGAGAAGCACCTCGAAAAAAGATTCGGAGTGCGTGGCTACGAAATCTGCGAGATGATTGCCTCAAAGAAGTTACGAAGGGCTTTGCCCTCGAAAGAGGCGGGGAGTCGTTAAAGGTACCAGGCAAACTTGGACAGACGGCATCGCACGTGACTGGTTTTGGTGTCTTGACTAACTACCCATGAGGCACTGCAGACGGTGCACTCGCGGTTGAAAGCAGCGTGCCGACAAAGTGAGGGGTACCGGGGTAGCGATGTTATAGTAGAGCCCCCTACCAAGCGACGGCTGAAGTTCGGAGCGAAAAAGGGGGTGTCCTAGGCCTAAAATTTGCCCGGAAGTGGCCCGGATCTTACGGTAGGCCCGGACGCCGAACTTACGTATTGCAGGGTTAGAGCGGGTAGGGCCAGGGCCCGGCACAAGTCCGTTAGGCTTTTTTAAAACGAAGTCTCCCCTGACTTATAAAAATTTTACGAAGTCCCCTTTGACCCTTGCTCTACCCCCCCCCCCCTTTAATTGTTCCCCACACACTCACGTAGTCCTTGACAGAACATTTACCTGCCGCGAGCTGAAAACCTCGCCATTTCAAATCAAACTCTCGAAGAAAATTCAAAAATCCATAGAAATTTGCTTCAGAGAGCCCTACATGGTCACAGAACAGATCAAGCTAAATTACGAGCAGAAGAAAGAAGAATGAAAAGAAATCATTACCCTAATTTCACGCATACAAGGCGCGGGGTAGTCCTAGCTTTCATCGATCAGCCCGAACACGGCAAAGGACTTCGCAAGCAAAGGAACCCCATATCGTGCTGCGTTTTGCCTGAGAATCGTGAGGCATAAGGATCGCTTCTTAAAACACGTTGGGGCGGCTGAGCAGCTCGATGAAAGCTAGGACCACCCCGCGCCTTGTACGCGTGAAATTAGGGTAAAATATTGAAAGAAAGCTGGAACTGAAAACGAAAATTCAAAAGAAAGGACGCAGAAAAGTTGACGCTGGGGCGCGATATCTAAGGCGATTTTCGGAAAAAAAAGAAGGGTAAAAAACGACGGGCAGGGGGCGATATGAAACTGTCCCTATGCCCAGGGATAGATTCTTGACGGGCACCGTCCATGTTAGAAAAATCCGCAACTTATGTGAAGTGGCGGAAATAATGCCCCAGACGATCTCAAATCGTCTGGTGGCCTTCTGGAGACGGACTAATTCTGAAGAAGGTATTTTTTCACATAAGTTTTCCAATATTTTTACATAATTCTTCCGCGAATAATCTTCTGCATATACGGTTCAGTTTTGGCGTCGTATGATTCGGTGTGCGCTGTAAACAAGAATTTGTTTATTTCAGCCCTGATTTCAAATCGCGCGCACTTTTCGCCATACACGAAGCATCCAATCGTGTGATAACCTGTCCGAAAAGCTTGTGTTTGACTAAATGGCGCTTATCCTTGGCACTCGGCCCCGAATCCGCAAAAACGAAATCTCCTTTGCCTTTTGCTACGAAAACGAAGTCCGCTTTCAGACGATCTGTGCCGGGCCTGGGTAGGGCGGATAAAGGAACGAAAACCGCCAGTTTGGGCCGCCTCCGCGGACTGCTGGTCCTGGAACGACATGCAACAAACTGCGAAAGGACAGTTCGCCGCGAAAGTCGACTCAAACTGGAGGCTTTCGTTCCCCCACCCGGGTAGAGCGAATACAATCATTACCGCAGGATCATGACGCAGAGACCCACAGCGACTCTGCGTCAACCATGCAGGGCTTCGCGTGCGGACGTCCTAATTTGAACATGGGGCTTCAGGAAAAGCCGGTTTTCGACATTTTCACGCTCTGCAAGCTGCACAGTCGGAATCAGCGGAAGGATAAGCCCAGGTAAGCGAAAAATCTTCAAAATCAGGTTTGTCCGGACACTGCCGTTGAGGTATTCGTCCTCGCCCTACGACTCGCCCGTGCTGCATGCTACTGTGTGTGCCCACTGCTCTTGTGTGAGCTCCCGCGCCAAACCCTGGAAGTAGATGCAAGTCTTCCGCTAAGTACGGTGCTAGGGGCAGGTGCTTGAACGCTTCTTTCGAGTATGGGATTCAGAATACATCAAAATACATCATTTTCTCAATTTCCGTGATTTCGGACGAGTGCATATTTTACAACTCAACGTTGCGATCCATCGGTGGATTTATTGTCCTGATTGTTGAACACAAAAATAACTTGTTAGAGAAGAAGCAGAAATTTAGGTCCACTTGTGACTGAAACTGTGATATCTTGATTGGCAGACTAGCCAACTGTACACCAAATGGCACCTGTTGCAGCAGCCTCCCATAGTCAAGGCAATCCGACTCCCACAATCAAAGCAATCGTTTTCTCACCACTTTCAGGCGAAGGCTTACGTAATTCATGTAAGGAATTTTCTCGCAGTCGAAAATGTATATGAGACTAGCGCTCCAAAAAGAGTGTTTGCATAAGCACCTTTTCTTGAAAGGCCGGAGCCACTAAAATACTTCCCTTTCAAAGGCATCGTCCGGCAAAAAACAAGTTTGAAACTTCCAGCCTATTTGGGCTTATCCGTCAGCTGTGCAGCTAACAGAGCGTGAAATCGAAAATGGGCTTTTTGTGGAGCCCTCAGATTTTCGTTGGGACGACTTAAGGACGCCATGCTCGTCGGTTAGACGCAGATTCGTTGTGACTTTGCGGTCGTGTGTGTGCGTTATGCGCGCTCTGTCCTTGCAGTTTGAAATCGCTATGCGGGCGGAATCCGGGCTATTTTGGAGGCAAATTTTAGGCTTAGTGGAGGGCCTGTTTCGTTCCGAACTTCAGTCATCGCCATACCCTCGATACATAGAGCCAAGTACTCTGGTAACCTTCACTTTGAGGGCTATGAGGGGCCACAACCTTCACCTGGAAAAAAACAGAAGTCATCCGGGGCTTCGCCCCCGATGTAATAATCCTGACTCTTTCGGAACGAATGCTAATGAAGCAACTATAAAGAATAGTATCTTTAGTTTATATCAGCGAAACCGAGAATTTGCGTTTTCATAGCTTTTTTATGTTAAAAAGAAGGTTTCTGTGAAATTTTGCCAGAATTTAGAATAAAACTTTTTAGTTAACCTCTCATTTGACCAAAATCGAGTTTCAGAAGTTTGAGAAAGCTATTGGAGTTAAATAAAAACGAGAAACTGCGCTTAAATCTTGCGCAAAGAGTCGCGAACTAAAACGCTGGTCTATCTCGTTAATGAGTGACTTTCAAAGCTTGGGACATTGTCAATTCTCCTCGTCGTGTCATGGCGATCAGAATGATATATAGTTTCGCAGGGTTTCGTTGAGACCCCGCGGAGATCTACGAACAGAGCCAAATGCCCCATCGGCTCTGGTCTGTCTCCGCTGCTCGTCTGCGTCTCCGCGCGCTGCGCGCTACCTCGCTACCCCAAATGCGGGGCGCGGGGCATTTGGCTCTGGTACCCTTTTCTTCGCTGTTCGGAATCCAATTTTAGCAAGTTATATATCATTTTGAAGCTCTTGGTCTCTATTTCCACGCTGACAACGTCCCAGAACCATATTTTTTGATTTGATCGAGAAATCCGGCAAAAACCCTGTTTTCGGAAATCTCTTGTTTTTCTTCTAGTTTAACTCTTTTCACGCGGTTTTTTCGTGCATTCTGTAGATCTTGCTTCTATTCATAATATAGACAACCACCCAGCCCTTACTTCTTCGATTATGGTGCAATTTTTTGCGAAAAATCGTAAAAAGTGCGTTTTTCTTTACCTCGTTCTGTTTCAGTGCTTTCGCATCGATTTTTTTCCAGCTTGGGCGATTGATGCTCAGAACAATAAGCGCAACAATCCAGAAAACGTCCCAGGAAACAGGAACGTCAATGCGGGGGTAAAAATTCAAAGGACGCATCAAAAATCAAAACCCCGTGTTGCGAATTGCTGGTCCTCGAGCAAAAACTTGCACTCGAAAAAGCCGCCAAGTGAAAAATTTCAAACCTCCTTGCAGCGTTTTTATCCGGTTTTCAGCAACTTCTATTCCTTTTTATATCTGCTTTGCGTCATTTTCTCTTCTGTGATCTTCTTTAAACAACCTTCATTATTTATGACGTCAGATGCTCAAACAACCTTCACTTTTGACGCCCTGTCTCTAGACTATCGAAGGTATGGTCATCGCTTAGGTATGGTGTCTACTGTAACATCGCTGTTTAAAGGCACCGTCCACCCAGATTCTCGACTTCCAGGTTTTTGTCGTTTCAGGCCCTTCTCATGTCCCTGATTCCAAATATGAAGTCGAGAATCCGCGAAAATCTCGAAAATCCCCATTCCGGAAAACCCACAAACCATCTTTTCAGAACGGTGATTGGATGAGCGCGCACAAATGGCCGGGCATGGATGGGGGTCCTCGTGCATCTTCGCTATTCCGAAGCGATTTCCTCGCTTCCGAAGCGGCATTTTGCGCCGCGACTAAGGCATTGGCTTGATAGGAGGCCCTAGTGTTATATGCTGCCAAAAGCTCAACACCCTCAACTTAGGGTGGACGGTGCCTTTGAACCCGGCATTCCTCACTTTGCCTGAGTGCTGCCTCTAAGATATTTGCGCATTGTACAATACAACCATGAAATAGTTTGACTGACTGTGGTATTTTACCCCACCTACACGCTTTCGAGTGGAAAGCTCACTTGTGATTCCAGAGGGATGGAGGAAACTTCATCAGGAGCACCCGCATGCGAAACCGTAAGTTTGTCTGCGTCCCTGGCAACATCTGGCTGCGGGGCTGCCATGCTCTGTGATGTGACTTGCTCTTCAGCTGCTGGGACCTGAAAGTGATGAACATCCTTTATACCCATTCTCTTAGTCTATGTCAATACTCGTTTTATCTATACCTCTATGCTGCTTATCGGCACAGCTGTGGTAATCTTTGGTCCCTGTGCAGAAACATTAGGAGCCTCGATGCTGCTGATAGGAACTTCGGGGACAATGGCTTCCTCAGCGGTAACATTCATACCCTCAGCGTTCATTGTGTCCTTGACAACTTGTTCGAACTGTTCAATAGGAATAGGTGCTTCTGTGCTGATAATGGGAGGTACCGTCACAGTCTTTGCTTTCTCGGGAACGCTAGAGGGAAGACGGATGTTGTCAGCGACATCTGCGGCAGGTTGCCTACTCTCAACGGACGCTATAGGAGTAGGTGTGGCTGTCTCTGTAGGAGATGGCATTGAAGGCGTTTGTGCTGCAGATGGTGGTGTAGGTGGTTCAACAACTTGTGATGGAGTTGGTGGAGGCGTTGGGGCCTCTGTTAGCTTCTCACTCTTTTCTGCATGGCTTTCTGGAGCAGACGGTGATGAAGGCACTTCTGCTTTCTGTGCCTGTGATGATGTTGGAGCTGGAGTCGGTGCTGCTTTCTCATCTTTTGTTACATGACTAGCAATGATGTCGAATGGAACAGGTGGGACTAAACAAGCGAGATTAACGAAAAGCAGTGAAATGGCAAAAGGTGGAGCAAAACACCCAACTCACTTTGCGGGAATTCAACGACTTCGGAAAGAACATGGTCAGGCTGCTGTAGGCTTTCTGCCTGCAGTGGTGTATCCCTTTTCTCCAAAATGGGTTCCTGGGCAACAGCATCAGTCGCTGATGCAGTGGGTACCTTGGGTTGTGCTTGCGGTCCACCCAACACGACACCTTCCTGAGCAACTGAGTTGACTTCCTGTAAACGAATCAAAAGTAGCAGGAAAGTGGGATGCGAGAAGTAACACCCTCAAGTGCCCAGTTACATCAATGCCTTAGAGTGTTACCTATCTTTCTCTCTAGACAGTTACGTACAAGAAAGCCACAGGTATGATCTCGTTAATTTTTCCACGTCTGCTTATTCGAAAATTTATTGATTGCGTTTGATGTTAACTCAGAAGAAAATTTAAGGAGACGGATGGGTGAGTGGAGTAATGAGGTCGTCGCACATGCTTTTATGGGGTGCTGTCCACGAAGATGACACTCATTCTCAGCTGTAAGCACTTTTTTCAAAGTTACAGTAGGTACACAACATGTGTCCTCGCTCTAATCCCATACCGAGTTTATGTTTGTAGTAAGCGCGTCAAATGCTCCTTCATGCATAGTTACAGACTGAATTCTTGGCCCTATACCGTGTATCAGTGTCGGCCCGAGAATCGCGAGGGAAGATGCAGGTGACAGAATTTTTTGATTAAAAGTGCCTAACGTGAACCAAGCAAACCGAAATATTCAAATGCTTCTATTTTTGGGCCCATAACCCAGAGAATTTGGAAGGGGAGTTGCGGCAGCCAACGAATAAAATCTTTTCTAGAGAGCTGTATTTCACACTTTCACGAGCGTACCAATAATGAAAGTGTTTCTGATGGAAGTGACTTTTTCAAGTAAATTCTACACCATTTTGAAGCTTTAAACGCTGATTCCGAACATGTTATCACTATCTGCCCAGCGCCTCTGAACGCCAAGCTATGGGTTGTTTCAGACTGCCGCACTGACCGCAGGCCGCACAGATCGCTGCATCCCTTCGTAAACGTGGAGAGGATGAATAGTTGTAGTCCAACATTCAACAACAATATATGCCTCAAAAGACAACACGAGCGAGAGTAAAACAAGTATATGCAATAACAGGAGGAATCAGAACAAATGTGAGCATACCAAAGAACAATCGCCTAAATTTGATTGAGAAGAGTAAGCTAGAACCTATGAACTTTCTAGGCGTAGGTCACGGTGTTTTGACGTTATCGCAACTGGTTTCTCTTTTATGAAAGACCGCAGCGATCTGTACGACCATTGCGGTCAGTGCGGTCAACTGCAGTCTGCTGCGGTCAGTGCGGCAGTATGAAACAACCTTATATACATTTTTTAGGCTTCTCAGTTGAATGGAACGCTGTAGGGACCGTAACGATTGATTTCCTAGATTCTGCGTGCATTTCTAGCCCTAAAACCACTGATAACACGCAGATCAAAGGCGCTTTGCAAAGGGGATGACAAGTATCAAGCTAAAGCCGTATGGAAGGGGTACTATGCAGTGCCTAAAGGACACATTGGACAGGAGCGAGAAGCTGTGTACAAGCCGCATTTTCCAGCCTTTTGTGTGATCCTCTGATGAGTCTCGCCGGCAACCGCTTTTTCTTCAAAGTCATTTTCTTCTTCAAAGTCAATGAAAACATTCCAAAGCTGTACTGATTATCTAGTCCAAAAATGCTAACAAGAGAATGGTCTGAAGTCGAAGTGGCCAATTCAAGCAAGCTGCATATTATTAGATGCAGCATAAAACGCACCAAATTTGATTTCCTTATCTGCAGAACACTTTTGTGACTAAAATTATAAGCCATTAAAGGCGATTATTTCGCTAAAAAAATCGTGCATGTGAGGGCAAACTTGGCCGTACAAGGAACTAGGTCAATGTGTATGGCCCGTACCTAGAAGTGAGCTAAAAGGGCAACAATGTGCCTAATTTCGCAAGCTTTTTTTGTACGACTTTTTCGCAGTAAAGCTGCTCATAACTTCGCCTACAAAGGCGTTCTGCAGATATGGAAGACAGTTTTAACATCAGCGTTCTATGCTGCATCGAATGGTATGCAGCTTGTTTAGATTGGCCACTTCGACTTCTGACCATTCCCTTGTAAGCATGTTTCTGAAAAGAACAAATGATGTGTCGAAGTCATGAAAATTGCGATGAACCACAAGTCAAAGGTGGGAAATTATGGAAAATCCAAATATTTTGATAGCCCATTGGTTTTTATCGAAAACATGCTTAGCACCGTTGGATTAGACAATCAGAACGACCCTAGAATGTTTTTATTGACTTCGAGAAAAAAACGACTTTGAAAAAGAGATGGTCAGCCGCCAGGGATAGTCAGGGGAGGGGTTCCCAGTGGAGGTGCGAAGAATTCACAGCTGTCAATTGGGTGCTCATTCAAGCGCTTCACACCCACAAATCCTACACAAAAACACTTTGGACGATGTGGCCACAAGAATTCGAAAATTGTTTACAAGTGGGAAGCAGCTTAAAAACGTCCATGAGCAAATGTTACACTCGTTTTGTAGAATAAAAGCAGCTCAGCTAAAAGATTCCGGAGAATTTATCTGTAGAATGCTCAATAGACATTTTATACCAAAATATTCCTACCAAATTCCGATGAGCGTGTGCGATCAATTGAAAATTATTTCTATTGATCCCTGTCGAAACATTTCGCTCTGGATGAAGCAATAAATGAAAATGAAAGATCAATACGAGAACTATCAACAGCGATCTAATTCTGCTGGTAAATAACATTCATTGAATTATTGAATTTTAATTATTTATTGAATGTCAGAGAGTTGCTGCTATTATACTCGCTCCTATCAGCTGCTGATGAGGACTATTCGTCAGCGAAACCTACTTGTTCGAAAACGAGACAAAAAATTCAAGCGCTGCACCCTTTTGTATTGAAAGATATCTCGTTTTTCTTTGCTGTTTGCTCATTCCAATTGTAGGCAGCATGCACCAGCGCTTAAACGAGCTAATGTGAAGTGTTCTACCAATCGATAGGTTGTCGTTAGGTATCCGCTAAAGCAAGGGGCGTGGCCTAGCGTATTCCACTTGAAGGCAGTAGGTCGGCAGAATGAGACCCGTGGCAAAACAAGGTCACAGGGTGGGAGCCCCCATAATGGAACCTACGGGCCAACGTTCGATCCTTCTCTGCCACTTCTAGCCCCCGAATTTTCAAAGCGAAAGCAGCGCTCATCTCCTGTCCTCTCCGAACCCCATGGACGAGTGAACGAAGCCCGCCATGGCGAAGACGCAGAGTCGTTGCGGGACCTCATGGTTATAGCATTGCGGCTGGCGCTCTGACCGCGAAAATCACTCGTCCATGGGGTGGGCGGGTTCGGAGAGGACAGGAGATGAGCGCTGCTTTCGCTTTGAAATTTCGGGGGTTAGAAGTGGCAGAGAAGGGTCGAACTTTGGCCCATAGGTTCCATGCTTCTACCCTGTGACCTTGTTTTGCCACGGGTCTCATTCTGCCGACCTAATGCCTTTAAAGGCACCGTCCACCCAAAAATTTCGATCTCCATGTTTTTGCCGTTTAAGGACCTTCTCATACCCCTGATTTCGGATATCAAATCGGAAATCCGCGGAGACTACGAAAAACCCCCGTTTTCAGAACCCGCAAAGCGATTCCTTCGGAACGGGATTGGTTGGACGCGCACGGATGGGCGGGACGAACTTCACGCCCACTCAAAGGGGAGGAGCCAACGTGGCAAATGTCATCCAAGCGATTTTCGAGGCAATTTTCTCGCTTCGGAAGCAACTTTTGCCAGCGCAAGTTGGATAAGTATACAGTTGGGGGCCCTACTACTGTTAGGCATCAAAATCTCATAGACCCCATTTTGGGTGGACGGTGCCTTTAACGCACCCATCATCATACGAGAAAAATTGGAAGATGCGGCTTGCACAACTCCCCGCTCCTGTTCAATATGTTTTCAGTAAAGGGTAGTGAAAACATTTACAGATGGATAGACAGCGAGAGATACAGATGTCCAGAGCCTCAGAATACTGAGTTTTCCTTCAAGCTGCGCTCCCCTTTCCAGCGGGGATGTTAATGCATACGGCCCTAAGAAGGAAAGTGCCCCCGAGCACGACCGATGTCGCCTACGCTATCAGGGAGAAAACCGTAAAATCCAAGAATGGCAAAGGTCAATTCGTTCTACGTGCGTGCATTTGCTACCCTCGCGCGACTCCTGACAAGGGAAAAGTCGAAATTCGAAGCGGCCACTCCAATCAGGCCTTGAACACTTCATGGAGAGTTGGTTACTATCCTCCTTCGTTATCTGCTTATAGGTTTCCTCTCTTGTTGCTTGCTTCTGTTCGTTCTTGCATTCCTATTCACCAACATTTTTATTCTTGTTTTCGCCATGATCATCCTCAATTCTCAAGAAGTCTGACTGATAAAAATGAGTTTTCGAAGTCTTTAGATGATAATCTTTTTGATCGCGTTAGGGACTTCGCCCTAACAACATAGAAATTGGGGATGGGTCGCAAAAGAATAGCAAGCAAAAGGAACCGAACTTGCACGCAAAAAGTGAGTCTGCAAACTTACCACTGCGCTATGCGTCCACTTGGCTATTACCTGGGCGACGAGTATATAAGGCGCGTGCCCCACGGCGGAATCGAGAGCCATAACTTCTTGCAAGAGACCGATAAGCACATACCAAAGGCAGATATGTAACCAGCCCTCCATGGAGTGTTTAACAAACGGCTTGCTGGGATCGGCCACTTCGTTTGACCGCTCTCTTGTGAGCTAGACGATCGTAGGTATATGTGATGCTGTGACCACAGTGCTGATTCTAGAAATTGCACTACATAAAAGCTCCTCCACATTCAAGTTAATGCCTGCTAGCGGGGACGTCGAAATGTACGAGACTCTCGCAATCTTCTGGGCGATATAGGTTCCACTTCAATGTTTTGCCTCCGCAGTCAATCGCTAAAAGGGAAGGAGTGGTTGCATAGCATGTAAACAGAGCCTCCATCGCTCGTACAAATGCTTAGTCGGAGCTGCCTATGGCGGCATACAGCGTACGCGTTGGTCCCCAAGTATGCCACGACACCGCCTCCGAGTGAGTGGATCAGGTCAACTTACTCACTTTGGCGAACGAGCCGCTAGGCTGTTCTATCGATCCACGAAGCACATTTTCTGTGATGATACCTTCAACCCTGTCTAAAGTGATAGATACAGGCAAAAAATTATAACAAATTACAAAGTGAACCTGATTCAGGAAGCTTAAGATGAGCTGCTGCTTCGGGCAACTGGTCAGAAACACCTGTACCATGCGTATGTGAGTGACCATGATCATCTAAATAAAGCATAGAGCCTTTCACAAAAAGGTCGCCTAAACGTGAAAGCTGCTGTGAAAACGATTGACGCTTCAAATCCCTACCGTGACTATGACCATGATCGTGACTATGACCATGATCATGACTATGACCGTGATCGTGACTGTGTCCATGACTATGACTGTGTCCATGACTATCAGTTTCAACAGGTGGAAGAGGAAGGGGCTCAGGTCCAGGTAAACCTTGATCCTGCGCATAGGTACGAGCTTGTACGTTGTAGTCGCGAACGAGGTGTAAATCGGCACGTATGCTACCTGAATGCCTTTCGTAAATGCAGTGTTTACACTGTCCATGAAGAACAGGTGACCTCGTGAAATGTACATATGCGTATAGGCTGCTGCATGACGAAGGCGCAATATCTTCGGGCGCGAACGCGGCTTTATTAGCCGCAGAGCGCATGAGTTGCAGAATCTACAACGGTGAGGATACGCGCGCTCAACTAATATCGCCATTGCGCCTTCGTCATGCAGCAGCCTCTACGGTGTAAATAATTTTCCAAACATTGAATCACATTCGCGTTCAATCGAAGTTAGACGGACCCCGAATACATTTAGTAATCAGGGCCGTGCAAGAAGACATAACCGCGAGACACGACCCCCTCGCCGTTCTCTCTCTCTCTCAAGATTCCCGCCCTCCCCAGCATTATCGTTCACCTACCGTAGGCATGACATAAGGACGCTATCACTACCAAGCATAATTAATAACATCGTAATTAACATGTCAAATAACCCCTGTGGGCAAAGTTTTAGCGAATTCAGAGGGTTCCCAGTATTGGGCCACCCGAGTAAAGTGGTCATTTTCAAACATGGTTAACTACACTTCAAAGTGAATTAGCTACCTCTTTTTGTACGACAAAGAACTACTCCATAATTACCAATAGCATGAATCCTGCTTCGAGTAAGCATCAAGCTATGATAGCAAAAAGCCAAAATCTCATTTGTCCCATTTTTCGCTTACAGTGGTTGTGCTTCCAGCAGCCATTGTTAAGCTATCACTTGTATGAAAACTACAAGATTTTAGCTATCAAACTATTCATATAGTGTTTGCTAAGGGAAAACGATTCTATGAAATCCCCACTGTGTAGAGTAGAAGGTTCAGCAGTGGCAGCCACATAAAAAAACACATTGAATGCTCTGAAGTAAAGTTAATGGGTTTTAGCACGATCTCAGAAAAACTGTGGCTGCCACAACTTTTTAGGGGTTCTGTCACACCCCATTCACTCAAACTGCGTAAAAAGAGTCCGAGCGCTTGCTGGAAGTTTGGCCAGCGCTCGGTGAAAGAGATTATTTGCCGTGCGCTTGCAGAAAATTTTGTATTGCTGCCCCCTGGCAAAACACGGAAGTACCGCTCGCTGAAGATTTGGCCACGCCCCAAAATTTTGCTCACCGCTTGCAGAACAGCGCGAGTTTGTGGACCGCCTGCCCCAGCGATTATCTAAGCAGTCTTCTGCAGGCAGTCGTTGTTCTTCGCGGGAATCTCTCCTCCAGCCCCCCGCAATCTGTAAGACCAGAAAACGCCTCAAAAACATTTATTCGAGAGATCTCAAGCACAAGGAGGCCAAGAAGGGATGGAAACCTCGCAATCGCAATTGTGCCAAACTACTGCCTTAAAGGCAGTGTCCGGGCAAAAACTCAATTTGAGATTTTGTGCTTACCCGGGCCTATTCGCTACGCTGAATCCGAAAATCCACATTGGAAAGCGCGAAAACAACGAAAAAGGGCTCTAACACTGGAGAGAAATCAGCAAGTAATCTTCGCAATCAGCAGGAATCTTCCCCACTGTGAATTCACGCTCCCAGTTTCCGGAGCGTTCTTCTCGATTACGCTAGCCGTCCTAACATCGCTACCGGCAGATGCGAATGCATGACTTGAAATCGGAACCGAGAGGATCGCTCTGGAAGCTGGGAGCGTGAATTCACAGTGAGGAGGACCCCGCTCACCTGCTGATTTCCCTCCCGTATTAGAGCCGTTTTTTGCCGTTTTCGCGCTCTCCAATGTGCTTCTGATTTAGCGTAGCGAATAGGCCCGGGTAAGCAAAAAATCTCAAGATCGTGTTTTTGCCCGGACACTGCCTTTAAAGGAAAATGTTGATAATAAGACATGTCAACCATACCTTCGATACATAGAGCCACGTACTCTGGTAACCTTCACTTTGAGTGTCATGAGAGGACACAACCTTCACCTGGAGAGGAATACAGAAGTCATCCGGGGCGAAGCCCGGATATTATGATATAACTAATGACTAACTATGTAAGGATAAATGTGAGGCAAATATAGTAGTGACATCCAGAAAAAGCTCAAAAAACCGAAGGATCGCGTTTTTATGGCTTTTTGCTGAAAAGAAGGTTTTTCTTCAAAAATTCATTTAGAAATTAGGATGAAATTTATCAATTAACCTTTCTGTAGACTGCGATTGAGCGTTGGAGGTTCATGAAAGCCGCTGGAATTCAATAAAAACGAGAAACTGCGCTGAAATCTTGCGCAGAGAGTCGCCACATAAATGCTGGTCTATCTCGTTATGGAGTGATTTTCAAGACCTGCGACGTTGTCAGTGCTCCTGGCCGTCTCATGAGGATCACAACGATATATAATGTTATAGGGTTTTGTTATGACCCCGCGGAGATCAATGACCAGAGCCAAATGCCCCGCCGGCTCTGGTCTGTCTCCGCTGCTCGTCTGCGTCTCCGCGCGCTGCGCGCTACCTCGCTACCCCAAACGCGGGGCGCGGGGCATTTGGCTCTGGTACCCTTTTCTTCTTTCGAATCCAATTTTAGCAAGCTATATATCATTTTGAAGCTCTTGATCTCTATTTTCACGCTGACAACGTCGCAAGACTCCTTTTTATGATTTAAGCGAGAAATCCGGCAAAAACCTTGTTTACGAAAATCTCTCGTTTTTCTCCTAGTTTGACTCTTTTCACGCACTTTTTTTGTGTAGTCGATAGGTCTTGTTTCTGTCTATAATGTAGACAACGTCGCCGAGCTTATTTCTCTGCTTATGCCGGTTTTTTGTGAAAATTACAAAAAAAAATGCGTTCTTCTTTACCTTACTCTTTTTCAGTGGTTTCGCAACGAATTTTCTCCAGCATGGACGATACTTGCTCAGAATGATGAGCGGAAGAATCCAGACTACGTCGCAGGGCACAAGAGGGACGGCGCGAGGGTGAAAATTCAAAGGACGCATCAAAAATCATAACCCCGTGTTGCGAATCGCTGGTCTTGAAGCGAAAACTTGCACTTTAAAAAGCCGCCAAACGAAAGATTTCAAATCTTATTGCAGCATTTTTATCTGGTTTTCAGCAGTTTCTCTTGCTTTTTATATCTATTTTACGTCATTTTTTCTTCTCTGATCTTCTTCAAACAACCTTCACTATTTATGACATCAGATGTTCAAACAACCTTCACTTTTGGCGCCCTGTCTCTAGACTATCGAAGGTATGATGTCAACGCTTAGAGTAGCCTAAACGCTGCGTCATATCTGACGCAGGTACCGTTTACGCTCCCAATGTGTGAAAATTGCGAGAAGAAGATAAAGGTCACTGTTGCCCGCTTGCATGGCAACGGGTATTGTCGGCCCGATAAGACGGACACTTTGCTTGCCGCTCGCTCAAGCAAATGTATTGTCCGCCGTTTGCATGGTAACATTGTTTGTCATTTAGACGGCGCTTCAGCTATTTGCCGCACGCACGGAAGCTTTAGGCTTATGCCGACCGCTTGTACGCTAGCCCTCAAAGGAAGACCGCTCGCCGGCGCGAATCCCTGAGAAGGAGTGTGGCTCAGTGTATTCCACTAATGGCTGGGTAGCTAACACCTGCACCTCGGCTGCGTACCTAAAGCCTCACCCCCTGGTTCACTAATATAGTCGATAGCTCAAACCTCGTAACCTGCGCAAAAGTGATTTGAGCCTGACTGATTTCCTCTAGTCTAGAAATTATTTGAAGTAGATACCTCTTGGGCGCAAGGACTTAGTAGTTCGCATTGAGTGCAAAAGGAAGTAGTTAACTCGCCTTTGAAAACAAAGTTAACATGTTCGATGATGACCATCTCACTTGAGTGCAAAATATTCGGAAACACAGGGATTATTTGAGATGCTGATTACTAAAATGATGCTCTTATGCTTTTAGGGCTCTTTTATATGCTTACTGTACGTATGGTAGGTCAAAAAATCAAAGTGCTAGTCTTTTGCCTAATAGGCCTGCTTGATAATGTTTGCGATTATCATATTACCGCTAGCATCGATATCACCCCGATTACGCCTCTCCCCCCCCCCCCCCCTCCCTGACCCCTCAGGTGTGGCGTGCCACATCCCACGCTTGATCCTGGTTATAATCATTTTCTCCGCATAACTGGAAATCAAAACATGAAGGATGAGAGAGTCATGTGAGGTAAGAAACAGTACAACGTTTCTCGATACAAAAAAAGATATTCACATTGTTATAACATCTTAAGCAGGGTCCAGCCTGAAGGTGGCAAATGGACATCGTTGAGACGACTTTGCCACTATCGATTTTTTACGATTTCCCACTTAATCCCGCCCCGCCAGCGTAGGTTGTTCGATTAGAGCGCTTTCTTACTCGAAAGGACCTGCGTCATGCTATTCCGGATCCCAACAAGGAGGAGAAGAGAAGATTTGGAATCAAAATGTCATAAATCAAACTCTACGTACTACGATCTATGTAAAGATTTTCAGAAACATGTGAAAAGCAATTTTTGCCTATTACAGGTAAGCATTAGGTGGGCAATTGCTCTAATTCGGAAAAAAAATTAAGCACGCTAATCATTCATATAAGTCCCTAGATTTTTCATACTTTGTCCCTTAGTCCAACTGCGCATATACAAACCAAATTTGGTGCTATGTCGTCATCTGTGCATAGCAAATGAGCCTTGTGGAATTTAGCATTTTTCAAAAAAGCCTGCAACAACGTTCAGTCACCCAACTTTTCCATCATACTCTGCACTATGCTCTACCTAGTCCATGTCCGTTTATACAGCAAATTCATAGTCAGAGCGTTATGTGTGCGCTGTAAGTGAGACGTTGACTCATTGAAAAAATTCGTTTTGAAGATGGAGCGAGAGCAAGATTGTGCTTTTGCATGTCAGTCGTGAAGCAACTTGTCAAAAGAGTGTATATACATGTAAACGTATATTTACGATAGCTCCTTTGCTTCTAAATTGATTTTCAACTTGACATTTGCCCACCTTGTGCGGACCTTGATATCCTAGGTCTTAGCATTTCTCAGGAGGAAAACGTTCTTAGCAGCAAAATACACATTTGACGCACTTCATTTATTGTTTAATCTCCCCCTCAAAGATTACGGCCTCCCAAAAGTAATTAGTAGAGCATAATTCGCGTTTCCTGATCGCAGTGATGCATCCACTGCAACGACGGGGGCTATTTCACACCTTCTCGCAATGTTTACCACAATAAAAAAAAAGAGTGAAAGATACCTAGAACTTTTTTAGATCCGACATCTACACGATCCTGACTGATTTCTTTCATCTCCTTCCTCACTGCTATTGCATTACGCAGAAATTCAACGTAGGGCCCGGTATCGATGGCACCTATATAGAAATTCCCTCTTCTTCCATCGGGAAGCTAAAAAAAGAAGCTTGAGTAAGCAAATCTTCATGAGAATGGCAAGCATTCGGAATTCACTAATTTTCATACGGTAGCTGAAGGAAACTACTCAACTAAGGTTTAAGTCCGTAACGCGACGGCATAGCCCTCTAGGCTCCAGCGTGCTTTAAAATACTAATCAACCCTGAACCCATACTGCCTGCTACCCAGTATAGTGAATGAGTATCAAAGCCATTCGTTCAACAACAAAATATCCAAAACAACTAGCACTCCCGCTGATATTTATTATTGTGTGAGGTGCGGAACGACAGAAATTGCTAGTAGCTGCTGCCAACGCATGGCGATGTTATTTTTCTCACAGAGCGCAATTTTGAACTCAGCTGAGATGAGCAGAATCAAAAATACTACACAGTAAGATTTGCTGGGAGCCCAGTGATAAGCGCAGTTTGATGATACTGCAGCAAGAAGGAAACGTGAAATACCCTAAATACCAGTTTGAAACCCTTTGTCACTATTTTTGGCGTTTTCACACTCATTTGCAAACAACAAAATATATCTAATTCTTCAGTATAGTTGAAAGCATACAATAAGAAAATACTCGATTTCTGCGTGCGGATGGCAAGATGAAAGATGGCCAAAAATGAGGGCGAAGCTCATTGCCTTCAGCATATGTACTATCTTTTTCAAGGTTAGAAGCCTATCTTTATTTTTGGCTCACAGCGGAGGGTCAAGCCATTGTCTCCTTGGCGCGTTGTGGCGCGAAAACTCATCGACTAATACATTTTTCCTAAACTTATTATATTTTTTCTTAATTTATCTGTTATAGGCTGCTTTCGAGGTGCAGTCGAATAGATAATCCGTCAAGTATAGTGTGCTTGTACTGTAGGTGAGATGCGGTAAAATTTGCGCATGAAGAAATACGCCTGCGATGCCTTCTGCGCGCGCAGAATGCCGGCATTACCGTCGTGGCTATTTGTTTACGCGGAAATTTTACCGCATTCACCTACAGTGGAAGCGCACTATATTATGAATCTACTCGACTGTACAAAATCTTCGACAAGGGTTGCTCCAAGGCTTGAAACTCGCCGTGGGATCAGATTCACTAAGTATCGCCTACATTCAGCTGAGGTTACAAAGTGGACTGTTCATTGCAAGTTGATCACTTCAAGTTTTATGCTTTTGTGAGTGATGCGGTTTGCAGGGCTGGATGCGGTATGGAAGAGTATTTGTGCAAATCCATGATAATGAGGCATGGACGTTAGCATGGGAACCGCATCACCCACAACAGATAAAAACTTGAGCTGAACACAAAAACGAGAAGGAAGTAGTGAGGTACACCACAAGTAGGTGAGTTTACGCTCAAGTTCCAAGCTGTGGGTGATGCGGTTCTCTCATGCTTACTTCCATGCTTTACCACGGACTTGCACAAATGCCCTTCAATCTCGCATCCACTTTTCAAACCGCATCACTTATAGAGGCATAAAACTTGAGCTAACTAAAAACTAGAAAAAAGCAGTGAACAGTCCACTTTGTAAACTCCAGCTGAATGTAGGCAATACTCAGCGCATCTGTCCTCAACGGCGATGTTTCAAGTCTTGAATCAACCTTCATCCAAAGACTTGTACCCCGAAAGCAGCCTATAACAGACAAATCAAGAAAAGATATACATTAAAAAAAGAAAATGGATTATCGACGACTTTTCGCGCCGAACATGCGCTAGGGAGACAATGGCTTGATCCGCACCGCTTTGGTTGCAATGGCTGGGTTCATAGTAATCCCGAAAATCCAAAACAGTTCCGGCACAGTTCTCGCACTGTGCTGAAACTGTACTGCAGCCATCCATGCGGTTTTAGGCGGCGCAAAATGGCAATTTTTGACTTTTGTCAGCGGTTTTGAGTGCAAGCTCCGCCCATTTTCGTCTCATTCTCACACATTGCTTCTGTGATAGAGAATTACGAACTTGAAACGGGACACCAGAATGAAACTTTTCCATGTCATATCTTGCGTGAATTATCTATTTTCCTTTGCGCGCCCCTTCTCCTTCGTGCTTTTTTCTGTTGAACGCTCTTTTCGTACTTCAGGGAGTCGCTGCATTTCTCTTCAGCTGTCTTCAGAGAGGAGGTATAGGTCATTTATACAGAGTGGGGCAAAAGTCTGGGAGCCTAGTACCTTTTCAAATAAAATCAGAAGGAAAGTGCCTAGGAACAAAAAATTTAGTGCACACATAAATCGAAGCTTTACTAATACAACGCTGCTTTCAAATTTTGAGATTGCCTCTTCTGGCTTCAAAGCAGCCCTTTAAAGTCTTGGCGAGTCCGACTGTCGTGGCACGCAGACAGTGGTGATGAAATTCGTCTCACGCCTTTACGATAACTGTTTATTTCACCAGGCAAATATGCGGTGTGATAGAGCAAGCTTTTGGCTGCAACGCACTGCGAAGAAATTTTTTTTCGCATTGTTTAGGAAAAATTTTAGAGTTTTAATTAAAGGCAAGTGTACATGTATACTGGAAATCTGGATGCGATTTGCGCGAAGGAGAGCGAAGATTCGTAATCTGAAAAGTATTGAAATTGCTAGATCGACCGAACCCAGTACACGCTTGCATAGAAGACTCATGGAAAGAATATAGCCTAGAATTCAGTGCCTGCTGTGCTCCTATAGCTTTAAAATTCATTCTAAAGAAAAATGGCCGCTGGCACGCAGCTGGTATTCGCAAATTTTTATTTTGCGTTTTTTAAAGAATAGTATCTGACAAACGCAACGGCTAAGAATTGATAGCGCGAAGTCTCCTCTACAGTATACGCATCGAAGTGCTTTAGAATATCCACTGTATCGTTAGTTACGAAATAAGTTGTGAAGACCAAAAATTTCGATTTTCTCGTTTTGCAGAACACACGTTTGATAAATCCAACTCCCACAAAAAACATATAGCAAGCATTTTCAGCCAGCCAAAGTGTGTTTTGTAGAGGATGATCGCAGCAATATGTGGCACAAATTTGGAGTCAAAATCATTAGTAGTTTCTTGATTTACAGCACTGCAAAGTAGGCTCCCAGGCTTTTGCCCCACCCTGTAAAAACGTGACGACGGATTTGACTGCGGACTTTGCTCCCAAAAGAGCATAGAAGGCTCATACAAGAAAAGATCACCACAACGTTCAGCTCGGTCGCTTCTTCTTCTACGTCTGAATAATATAACACGTAAGCAGAAAAACCATTCGTTTGGGGATGAAAATCACGAAAATGCGGTCTCCGGAGGTGGCGAGCGTACAGCGCGCGGTCGCGCCATCGTCACGATTTTTCAAATGCCCTATACAACCATCACGATTGCAGAAATTGCGAATTTTTTCTTTTTTTCCATGATATTGGATTTTTGGGCGTTTCAGCCCCATTTCTCTGCACAACTTCTACTGCTTCCTCTTTCGTTCCTGATTACTGTTCCGCTTCTGATGAAAACTCCGAATGAGAAATGTGCACGGATTGGAAGCAACATCAGTTTGTGACAGTTTTCAGCTGATGTACAAAACGAAACAGCGCGCTCCTTCTTGTACCTTTCTCCAAGTTTGGAACTTTTTCACTCACAAAAGCAAGCAAGATACGAGAATGGGGTGAAAACGAGCAAAATTCACCATGGAAACTGTTCATCAGAATTAAAAATTGTTATTTCGCGCCGCTCAAAACCGCATGCGGGTGCTGCCAGCGCATGCAGCACAGTCCTTGCATAGTTTGAACAGCAATTTTTATTCGGTATCAGCTTGAAAAGCTAAAATAATCTTGCTGTTTAAAAACAAAATCATAGAGCCACTGAGTGCTGTACAGTCGAGAAGATTTCCTGCTTAATATAGTGTCCCTGCAGACGCGACAACGGTTGTGCGCCGATAATTGCCGTTGCGAGTGTCTGAACGATGTTTTCTGGTGTTTTTTCTTCCTCATTCTTTGCATTTTAGGTGACTTTTGCTGATGAAGGAGAAAAGGTAAGCTGAAGAGTAATTTCTGTTTTCTTGGTAGTTGCATAATCACTTATTCTCAGGTAACCAATGTGGAAGCCACGTCGCAGTTTCGTGTGTATTTCTTGTCTCTTCATGCCTCTTCGCGTCAGTTTCGTGCGTATATTTTTGTAACTTGATGCCTTTGCTTCTTGCGAAACCTTTTCTCGAGCGCTAGCAGGCTTTTACGCAAGACTACTCGGATTAAATTGTTAAATGCTATCTCTTTTTGAAAGGCAGCCAAGTTGCTGCACAGCCTACTAGCATTCAAAAAGAAATGATTCACAAAAAGAAACGGGCTTGAAGTGACGGAAAATACACGAAAAACTGACGGGACGTGGCTTCCACGTAAAGGCTACTGCATGACCAAGGCGCAGAAGCAGTTCCAGTTGAGCGGGCGCGAACGTGGCGCGCGCGTATCCTCACCGTTGTAATTCCTGCGCCTTATGCGCTCTGCGGCTAAAAAAGCCGCGTTCGCGCCCAAAGATATTGCGCCTTCGTCATGCAGCAGCCTATAGATTATCTGAGAATAAGTGATAGTACAACTACTAAGAAAACAGAAATTACTCTTCAGCTTACCGTTTCTCCTTCATCAGCAAGAAGTCACCTAAAATGCAAAGAATAAGGAAGAAAACACCAGAAAACATCGTTCGGAGACTCACAACGGCAATTATTGACGCACAACCGTTGTCGCGTCTGCAGGGACACTATATTAACACGCTACGACCTTGTGTATCCGCACGTATGCACGCCCTGACTCCCGTTTAGCATTTTCGTGCATCCGCGCATATGCACGCTGGTTTTTTAGGTGCAAACGAAAAGTTTTGAGGTAATTTCTATGCAATAATACTATTAGTGGCCTGATTGTCATACAGAACACAGGGCATCGCGGCAGCTGTTCAGAAGTTTTGGCCGCAAAATTGGGTAATCAGTCCTTTTTTGATGTAGTCAATACATGCTGATTACGTTTTCTCGCGAAGGTGAAAACTCTGTATAGCTGTTTTGAAATCAAACAAAGATGAATCAGGCAGAAAACTCTGGTTTTACAACGCTTTTCTCGAAGAGCGATTCCTCAGATACAGCCATTGCATGGATTATTGGAGGGAAAGTCGATGCAAAAACCTTGATTTGTGTAAGTCCTGGCAAGGCTCTGTGATATACTTGTATGTCTGAACAAAGTTCGCATGTTTTATTAATAAGTGACAAAAAGACTCCCACATAATGTTTCCGTGCATCCGCGCGTATGCACGGGCCAAATGCGCGAAGGACGTTAGTGGGAGTTTCGCCCAAAATGGCGCGGTCGTCAACGTGTTAAGCAGGAAATCTACTCGACTGTACGATTTCACACTCTCTTAGGCAGGTTTATTGATAAGCTGTTTGACATTGAAGAACAAAAGAGAACCGACAACAAATCGGAGACTGAAACTCGAGTTTCTCAACCCTTTGGCAATGAAGACTCCTCCCACCCTAACAAACAATTCGGTGGTCTTGCTAAACTTCCTAATACGTAATATGAGCATGAGTCACAGACAGAGAAGGTTGTCATATAGCAAATGGCTTTGAATGGCAAAACTTAATCAGCTTTCAAACTGACTATATATATAAATATATAAGACACCACTGCATGGCGGATTCAGGACAAATTAAGGGCAACTACTGAGGACCCGTCTACGAACACGGGTACATCCGCTCAACAAAACTGCTTCACAAAAATTTCTACGACTAATATTTCAAGACTGAGATGCAGTGCTGTGAGATAAGAATCATTTGCAAGAAAGCTGCATAACTAGCTCAGCACGTGGTGGCCTGGCAATTTGGAAACGAAGTACGTCTTAGGGAACGGCCATAGGTTGTGGGTGTTGTCAATGTTGTCGATGTTATCGGTGTTGTCGATGTTGTCGGGGTTGTCGGTGTTGTCGGGGTTGTCGGTGTTGTCGGGGTTGTCGGTGTTGTCGGGGTTGTCGGTGTTGTCGGGGTTGCCGTGCCGGTCGTTGTAGGACCTCATGATAGCCTCCTCGTTTCGCGCGCTATCTAAATTGTCTCTGACCCCGACAACCTCGACAACATCGACAACACCGACAACCTATGGCCGTTCCCTTAGAAATAATTGCTGAAAGCCTATCTTCTGAATATTCAAGCACGATCTGCAGCCCGCGTCAGTCTGCAGCATGATGATAGAACAAAATAAAAAAATGGGTGAGAAGGTACTATAAAAAAGGTGGAAGATGATAAAAAAGGGTGATTTTTCGTGACATTCAGAGCGAAGTTAAGCAATGAGGACAAGTTAAGACGGCGTTTAGTAGTATTGAGTTTGAGCTAAACTACGAATGCACGTAAAGAAAACTGAGAATGTAAGGGGCAAATGAGACTTTATTCCTTTTGAACCAACGCAACTGTCACACTAGCAGGCATGAAGCAAAGAGTCTAAAATTCTATTGAAGTTTGGTTTGAAACGTTTTTCTTCATAATTCTGAGAGACTGTAACCAAGGCATTTTTGAATACACCATACGGTATAGAGTTTTGCGCGTATGTGAGAGTTCCTAGAGAGTATAGCATCTAGAGAAGTCGGAAGGATATACATGTTTATGTAGGTGTGTAAATATATTTCTGTCACAGAAATGATAACAATGCCCATTGTGCTTATGTCACATCCGTCCCTGCTCTGATCTATATACATTGATATTCAGGAGAATATCAATTACAAATATGTTCGCGCTTGAGCTGTACAACCCTCACTGAGCGCACTTAGCGTTTCAAATAGAGAAACTCGTCTCAGATTTCAGCAGTCGTAATTCTGCGTTACTTTGTACGCCGTTATCGTCAGAAGTCGACCGTAAATCACTTTATGAGATGTTACTCGTAAAAGAAAAAAAATCTTTTGTGACTTATACAGGGAACCGATTTTAGCGCACAATGTAGTATCGAAACTTTTGCGCAGAATGTGAGAATAACTAGCCTCCTTCTCGCCTTCAATGATATGATTCAATATCGGTGTTTGTTTGATGAGAGGATTGATAGAAGTGTATGGATTACAGTTCTGCGCTCTTCGAAAAAGTCCTCAGGCAAAGCTTTTAAGATTATAAACAGCGTACCAAGAGGTAGAGGGACAAATCACATAACGTAGTAGAGACAAACACAAAACTCAGTCGCAAGGCTGATAAGACACATGGTGGAGAAATCAAGACTACTCTAGAAAGCCTTGCTCCTGCATTTAAAACTTTGACGACCGCGTGCAATGCGCGTATGCACACCAATTGTTTGTGGATCACAAGAAGTTCCCGGATAACCTTTCATATAATAGTGATACTGTGGTGGCCTGATAGTCATATAAAGCACAAGGCATCGCAGTAGCTGTTTTAGCTGTTCTGGAGCTTGTCCGCAAGTTAAGGTATTTGCTACACTTTTGATTCGTTAAATATGCTAATTATGTGTTTCTGAGAAAGTGAAGTTTCAAGTTGTTCTGAAAGCAACCAAGGATCGACTCAAACGAAAAACACCCAAAATCATGACGATTTCCCAAAAGGAGATTTTCCAGATAGAGAGAAAGGCGATGAAATAGTATTCATATGTGGAATTGCTGAGAAGACTCTTGAGATACACGTAATTTTGAAGAAACTTCGCTTATTTTATGATGAGCGTACACTCCCACATGATAAGCACCCGCGTATCCACGCACCAAATGCGCAAAACGTTAGTAAAAATTTTGCCCAAGATGGCTCGGTCGTCAATATTGATGTTGCACCTCCGCGCATGTATAGGAACACCGTTACGCTTGGTTGGAAAACGTACTACTACTGCACAAGAGTTCCACTCTATTCTTCAAGGAAGCCGCAAACAAAAAAAGGTCTTGCTCTCCACAGCACTCCCTCTGAATAGCTATGTTGTTACATTCTTTCTTATTATGGCTATGTTGATGGCGCAAGGTCTTCTGGGCATATCAATCTACAGACTCCTAATTAGGAGACCACCCCAGACGTTTAGCTAATAAGTCTAGTTTTCTTACATGTCTAGAAAAACCTTCCAGTGAGTTAATCGAGATTTTCTCTACCTTACTCGAAGGCAAACGTGAATTCCGCGCCTTACGAAGTCTCCGATGGTTATGAAAGGAGGGTCCCACATCTGCATATTTACCTTGGTGTCCACAGGTCCGTTATGGAAGCTTCATGGGGGTGGAGGACTACATGTCGCCGAACATGGGAGGGTCCCGGGCGGATTTCCTGCAGGAACATTTCTCCGTGCATGTGCAAGGATATGTATTTGTCGCGATTGATCGCGGGCTCATCCCTTTTCGGCGAGATATAGTCCCCTACCCGGCTTCACAGTAAGCCTGTTTCCACTATTTTCGCACTACAAGCTGCACTTTTAGAAGCAACATGATAGGCCCAGGTGAGTGGAAAGTTCTTAGACCGTGGTTTCGCTCGAACGCTGGTTCTATAATAACAACAAATGTCAGAACAAATCCGATATAAATAGCATGAAAACCGACTGAAGAAACAAAATCTAGGCCAATGTATGATAACAGTTAAAATCTCGCAGTCTCACTCCCATGCCAAGTATGGACCATACTCTTCAAATAATGAACAGAATGACAATAAGGCCGGGATTATACAAGAAAAACCTAAGTGGAATCGACTTAAATTTCCGGTACATTTACTTGCTTTGTTTTTGAGATAACGGTTTATTCGAAAAAAAAGCAAGATTTCTCGTAGGCTGCATTACTGTTGCGAAAAAGGTCCAGAAAAAACAAAAGAAAACGAGGAACACAATAAAACAATAACAAAGAATGTGATTTGAATGTCTTACCTTTCCTTCCATCAAATCAGTTCTGTCACTGAATTTCACAGCAGTCACATCAATGACAGCATCCTCCGTCAGCGCTAGGAAAGCTTCATGGTTGGAACCCATGACTCTTTTCACTTTCGCTTTGAAAAGCACTTCTGCGAAGAAAATTTTACATGGGGTATTAGTGAAAGGGCAAACCCACCTTCGCACTGCTCATCTCCACAAAGTTTCGACTTTTTCGATACGATAGGTTGCTTGGCTTCATGAGTAACGACAAATAGAACCTCAAATATACTTTATTGGCCAGGGTACCTGTTTTCATTACAAAAGAAGTAAAGAATAGGCTAACCTGTAATAGTAATATAACCCTCATTGGAACATACATGAGTGCCGACTAACTAATTCCTAATGGATTGTAAAGGCAAAGACGATGTAGAAAAAGCGTGGAAGTTGAACGTCTGGATTGACAAAAAAAAATAACCAGTCAAAGCCTAGCAACGAGTACGGTAGTTTCATGTTTAAAACGCAGATTTTGATGAAAAGGACGCACAATGAGAGTATAAGTTAACAGAAGTAAGCTAACGGACGTATTCAGTGAGGTTTATGCAATTCGTAAAGCAGGATTACTACAGCTGCATGTGCCCTTTTCCGTCTGAGACAATTTTAGTGTAAAGAAATGACGACTTCCAGATTGAAGGAAGTGCCAACACAGCACTGAATTATCCACGTTCAATTGGAACCGTTGTGATGTCAGGGAAACCGGTCGCCGCGCTGGCGTTTTGCGTTCCAACGCATCGCATAATTTGCGTTTGGGGCAGATTACAGCTGCTAGCGCACCTTTTTCCTACTTGCATGCTTCACCGCAAGCAAACCAATCACTATATACCGCCGTCTGGTCTGCACTTAAAGGAAGTACATCGGGAAAATGGACCTGTCTTTACCATGCATTTGGTTGTGGCTTGCTGTGCGCAACATGTTTTAGCCTTAACACACCCACAATTACCCTCGATATCCATATGTCTTCCCTCAACATGACGTGGATTACATGAATTGGTTAGGCGCCATCTCGCTTCGGGCTTGCACCACGCTGCGGGCGCATCGTTTGGCGGGACGTGGCGCTCAAATCAACTTGGCGCAGGCTTTCCCACGTTGTTCTTGTTGCCACACCACGCCAAAGCTGCGCACGCAATGTGGCGCAAGCCTAAAGCGAGGTGGCGCCTCACCAAATCACGTAATTCACGTCATGTTGAGGGAAGATATAAGGGTTGATATCGAGGGTATAGACACAATGTGTCCTAGCCCGGGTTGGGCGTGGGGTCAGGCGCGCCCGACCTGGGGGTCGTATTGGGGGGGGGGTAAGAGCAATGGGGCAGGGTCGTAATCAAGAAGAATTTGTTCAAAAAAGTGAGGAGATACTACGATCGAGTAAGGTGAAGAAGAAAAACGCAACCGTGGATTTCACAACTCCACCAGTGGAATGACTTTCGTTAGCAGCATGCAGATTGACTCGACTAACGAAGTCTCAGCCAAATTCCGATTCTTCTATACACATACCGTACGGTCACCAAAGAAGCTTTTTATGTAAATTGGGTATGATTTCCGTAATCAGCATGCCAAATCACCTCAGCGAGCTTGAACCAATACCTATTACAGTCCATGTTGATTACCTGTTCCCTTTTCCGCAAGCGCAAGAGCTTCTCGCCGCGTTCGCGCGCGTATGGCTCGGGCACTCAAATTCATCGATTGGTGGCCCGCGCGCGGGCTCTTGCGTCGTGCAGCGTAGTTCCCATGCGAAAGGGAGTACATAATTGACATCGACTGTACATTTTCTAGTGTTCCCCAACGTCCAAAGAGCATGATTTTCAAACATGATTAACTTGGTCACAAAATTGAAAAAGGTCAGCTTTTTTATAACCATGACGAATTGTTACTCTTTATGAGTCTATGGTAGAAACTGGACTTCATATCGCTTTCAAATAACGGATTGAGAAGTGCTGCCAAAATGTTAGTCACCAGGGTTGAGGAAGAGGTGTGGCACACAACCGCCGAATGCGACCCTCCCCCCCCCCTAAGTTCTGCCTCCTTCCCCCCTCCCCTCTTTCATTTGCTTACCGTAGGCAAGACATAAGGCTTTATCAAGCATGATCAGTAACATAATTGCGATTTCTGAAGCTCGCTTTGTCAATTTACGATGGAATTCTACCGGATTCTGGCACATGATTGGGGACACCTTGGCGAAGCTCAGCTAGAGTGGTCCGGGTTCGGGATACGTAATGTTACGGTAGTGTGCCGTAGATGGAGATAAAGCACAAACTCTAGCCCAAATTTTTCGCAGAGTGGTGGTGTTTTTGAAACTTCAAGTTTATATACACGAGAAATATGGGGAGGGCACGAGACTGATGACACCCCATCAAAAAATTATCGATTTTATTGATTTTAAATTTTTTACATTGTCCGTCCTAGGAAGCTCAAACCTTACAGGTATAGGTTTTGTAGCGTGCTGATTACGAAAATGGTAGTCTCAAGTTCTAATACCGCCTTCTTACATCAGTTTCTTGATTTTTACAAAAATTTTACCGTACTGCTACCGTAGTCGCACTATGGGAAAGTAGTGAACAAAGTGGACACTATAATCGTGATCAGCACGTGAAATAACCCCAAAAACATTTTTTCAAAGAAAATTGACCTTGGGTTCCTACAGAATGACTACCGCAACCTTACCGTATAATGCCAAAAACTGAAATAAATCATATTTTGATAGTCAGCGCCTTTGACCTTTGTGAGAAGTTCCCGGGGACATGTTTTGAATTTTTTTTCAAAAAGAACACCATTTCGGACAATACGACTCACGGATGGGTTGTAAATTTGAGAAAGCGAAAAAGGCTCTGGTCTAAGCGGCAGTAATCGAAAAATCGGCCTTGTCGTGAATGCCTTAAAGGTTATCGTCTAAAAGCTCTTAATTTCATTGTTCGCAGTCGGTTGCGTAAGAGAGGGATGTTCAGGATATGGTGCTATTTGGATGGCTTCAGCCTTCGTACACACTTTTCAGATGATCTTTGTAGCCCCAAAATAAGCCGTTTCATACTACATACCGACTTCATGATTGCAAAGGATACGCACGTGCCTTCTCCAAACACTTGGTCGGAACTGATGAGCTTAAACTGACAAGGAAAGGATGGTCAGTCGAAGTGACCTTTTGCGATGACTTGTATATCAAAATGTAGGGCATAAAACGCTGATTCTAAATCTGTCTTCCTTATCTGCGGCGCTTTTCTGCACAAGAAGTTAGGAGCGTTTATTGGAAAAAAATTGAATGTGCAAATAATATAAAAACAGTAGTAACGTTATTCCTAGCGCTTAAATGGACCAGTGGTAATCTTTCCAACACTGTATAAAACAAATACTCTGAGGTGAGACATATCCACACCTCGGCTGTCTCATTCAAACGCTGGGAAAATTTTAGCCAATGTTTTTATCTCAGAAAAACACTCAGTCTTTGCTCCTTTGAACGCTCATAACTCCTCCTCCAGGAATGCGCCGCAGATAAGGAAGACAGATTTGGAATCAGCGTTTTATGCCCTCCACTACGGTATACAAATCATCTCAAAGGGCCACTTCGACCAACCATCCTTCCCTTGTGAGATGCCTGCACTGTTGAACTTGAAACAGAATTTACTTCGAGGCACCCCTTCCCAAATCTCGAGTTCTGGAGAATTTCGAGCAGAATTGTTATAGACAATTCCTCACCGATTAAAGAAATTAATTTACAGCAAAGTCGTCCCCAGCAATCTGATGAGATGTTATCTACGTGTGGCTCCTCTAATTCAGGATTTCAAGAGGGCAATTCACAAAGTTTCAATTTTTGGTGTGGCTTAAGTACTTATCTATAGCTCAATTATGTTGTTGGCCAAACCAAACCTCGGTATGCAGGACTTTCCGCCTCACAAAAAGCCTTGAATTTCCTGTTTCTTCCGCCTAATACTTTCTAACCGAACGTTTACTGGACACACAGGGCGCTAACGATTAGTTTTATAGGAAGAACCAGGTAAGAGTTCTGAGCCATCATCTCCTACATATTTTGGCAGCTTTGCAATGGTGTAGATTACAGAACTTCTAGGTGTATCAGATAGGTTTTCAAAGATCTTATGATGAGTCACTAGCACCGCGTGCTTCTCATAAAGGCTATGTAGCAAACACTCCTTCCGACGTCTCCATTCAGTTGTTTCCGTTTGTGTGGCACATCCACGACAGATATGCATCTGAGAGCCATTGGATGGGCGGGGCCGGAGAATACAGGAGATGAGCGCTGCTTCCGCGCTGAAATTTTGGGGGTTAGAAGTGGCAGAGAAAGATCGGACTTTGGCCGATAGGTTCCATATGGGGGCTCCTACCCTGTGACCTTGTTTTGTCACGGGTCTCATTTTCTGCCGATCTGCTGCTTTTAAGCGTCGACTGAGCCTATCCTTCCAGGTCGTTGCCGCCAGTGCGCGGAAAATAAACAAAACAAATGCAAAGGAGATTATTGAAAGCATATTCGTATACGGCGGCATAAGTAATTAAAATAAACGCGCTTATCAAACGGTGTATTTGGATGTAAAACTCAGCGGAACTGTACGGATTTTGTTATCCTAATTTCACGCGTATAAGGCGCGGGGGGGATTTTTTCCAAAATCGACCAGCCCAGACACGCCAAAGGACTTTATAACCAAAGGACCCTATAACGTGCTGTCTACTGCTTGAGAGAATCGAGTGATGAAAGGATTTCTTTCCGGAATAAAGTGAAGTGGCTGAGCGGTTCGCTTGAAAATTCGAAAAAGTGCGCCTTATAGGCGTGAAATTAGGGCAAGTAAATTTTGTTATAACGTGCAGCAAAAAAGTAGGTCGATCCAGGGAGTAACCGCCAAGAACCAGAATTTTGAATAATTAAATAGTGAAAAATCATGCGAAATTTTCACTGTTATAAATCTGAAGTATGAAGATGTCAGCAACTGCGACTTTATAGGTCTTGAAGAGTAAGTGGTGCTCTATTAAATAGTGAAGGAATCAAGTCGATTTGAGAGATGTTCCCCGAAAACCGGTAAAAGATTACGCCATTTCAGCTTGTTTGGTGACTGCTGACAGTTAAACCCATATAAACCCTGAATGTGAAGGTGTCTGATGTTGAGACTTCGTAGGTCTTGTAGAGTAAGGATTGCCTTATCAGAATGTATCTTAGCTGTAGCGATCCGTTCAAACACCGCCGAGAGCCAGACTCCTGAAAAAGGAGGTAAAAAAGCGTTTTTTAAAATTTAACAGCTCATAGCTTCTTCAGAATTGCATAAATCATGTTGCGACTTTATATGTTAGATTCTCCTCATCAAAAGTTTTTAGATGATATATAATACGTTGAGGTTTTATGCCTGCTGCGGCTTATGCTCGGGGAGGAGACTTTCCATCACTAAGGGCCGCATGCACTAACCTCCCCGCTGGGGAGGGGATCGCAGCTCAAAAGAAAGCTTTATATTTCGAAACTTCAGATACCTGGATTTCACATTGCGTACCTATCCGTAAGTATTCCTACTACCCTTCACTATGAACGTGTTGAAGAGGAGCGAGAAGCTGTACGAACCACATTTTCCAGCTTTTCTATGATCCCTAATGATCCCCGGCGCTTTCCTTTAAAGTCATTTTTCTTTCTCCGAAGTTAACGAAAACTTTCCAAAGCTGTACTGAACATCTAACACAACAGTGCTAAGCATG